GGTGGTTGCGGAGAAGCTGCGCACAGTACTGACTCAACAGGTCGCAGCCGAGCAGTTAGCTGAGCGAAGACATCTAGACCTTTGGGGCTTCTTACGAACTATGCACAAAGTTGGACGAGTTTGCGCAGGCGACCTACACCGTCACCTTCAGCCCCGGCCAAGGTGCTGCAGGTCAACATGCGGAGATCGCGGGAGCTCATCAACAGAGGCGCCGCGCTCCACGAGAGACGGTCCTCAGGTCCGAGATAGGCCCTTCGCAAGCGGGGTCCGACATACGCTCCGCTCTCTAGAGCAGCAGCAGGGAATGGTGCAAGCCGGCCAGGGACAGGCCCAGGAAGAGCGCATGGCGAGCCGCCTGGGCCGCGCGAACCTCCGAGCTTCAAGCTCCCCGTTCTGTCAAATCTGTACAGGAGCTGCTGCGTCTCTGGCGGCAGGGCTGGGGCGAAATACCTTCTGTGGATTCTCTTGAGCGAGACTGGGGTGCTCGATGGCGGCCATCTGCAGAGAAGAATTACTCTTCCACGCGCAAGATCATCGTCGATGAGGTTCGGAGGCGGGCCCAGTCGGACGGCTTAACTGAAGATATCGTGGCGAGGCAAATGGATGAAGAACGTGGTGGACCCAGCTCTTTGGATAAGTTGTTCAAGGCCATCCGAAAGGACAGGCAAGGCGAAAAGGGACACAAACGTGCGTCGGGGCAATTCAACGTCGGTGGTAGCGAAAAGTCGATGGCGCAGTGATTTTGAACACCCGTCTGATAGAATGACCGAGGACCTTGGCGGCGAAAGTGCCCCCAGGCCGTCAGGGGGCCTGTAGACAGGGTATGCATCCGCTAAGCGTCGCTGTAGCTCCAGTGCGTCAAGGCTGAAAATGCTTCAAATCACCGCAACCTCGCAACCGACAGGATGTAGGACCTTAGACAAAGTGCATTCTGATCGCACAAACGCAGGCTATCCAGTCGAACTGGTTTTCTCGTCGTCGGTCCCGGCTTTCGCGCTTTATGGCGCTCCGAAGATGACATCAACCCGGCAGAGGTGATGTCAAGGGCAAGCGGGTAATCGGCGGTAATCTGCGGGGTAATCCGCTGACCGCCCACCAAAGCCGGACCTGTGACATCCACTTGATGTCGCCCACACGGGTGCTTCGAGGCGGCGGTAAAATGACGGGAGCGCCCCCGCTAGGGATGACCCAGGTCCCTAGAGACTGTTCCCCATTTGGTAAGGCAGGATGGGCTAGTCTGCCGGTCTCGACCTCCCCCCAAAGGTCGTGCCCCCCCCCGGCCGGATTCGAACCGACTCCGCCACGAGGGCGGCCTCCAAAGCGTATGACCACTACGCCACGAGGGGCTCTCACAAAGTAGACTTCGCGAGATTTTGGCATCAAGAAGGTTGGGAAGCACAGCCAACCAGGGTGCGTGCATCCCCTCGCCGACTCATAAAATGGGGCTCTCGCGACGAGTTGCCTAAAACGGAAAGGTCGTCGAGCAACCTCAAGTAACCCCGAGTAAGCCAAAGGGTCTTGCTTGACTTGGTTGAAAACCGTCTTTACTTTACTTGGTTGTTACGTAATCAACCAATCCCAACCAACCAAGTCAAGTAAGTTAACTTGGTTGATGGACACACTGGCTCATGCTATGTGATTGGGGCATGCCGCGCACGATAGTCAGTGACAGAGACCGCAAATTCACCTCTGCTTTCTGGCAAGGGCTCTGGAAGGCCTTTGGCACCAGAATCAGCATGACAACGGCATATCATCCGCAGGCGGACGGCTTGGCCGAGCGGCGCAATCAAACAGTGGAAACAGCGTTGCGACTGGCCTATATTGAGGACCCCAACCTTGACTGGAAGACCCTTATTCCTTCGCTGCAGTGGCATCTAAACACAGCCTACAACACCAGCACGAAGACCTCAGCCCATGAACTAATGTACGGTTTCCCCTGAAAGGCCCTGGAGGCTGTTGATCGCACAGCCAGCGCAGAGGCAGACGAATTGCCCTACATCAAGGAAGCCTTGCGTAAGCAGGCCAGCCTAGCTATGGACCTTGCAGCGATGAAGGCCAAGCGTTGGTACGATGCCAAACACCGACCTATCCATCTCAAGGCTGGAGACAAGGTATATCTCAAGCTTCATCAAGGATATCACCAGCCAGGCAGGCCGCCCAAGAAGTGGTCACAACAGCGGGAGGCCCTTTGTGATCAGAAGGATGGTTGGAGACCTGGCCTGTGAATTGGACCTTCCAGAGCAAATTAAGGTCCACCCAGCGATCTCAATACACCACCTCAAGCCAGCTCACGAAGGCTGCTTTGAAGAAGCTCACCCCGGACCAGTAGAAGTCACAAAGGACTTTACGGACCAGGAAGGCGAATTCTACGAAGTTGACAAGCTTCTGGACGTACGGGTCAGGAAGATTGGAAGAAACAGGAAGCCCGTCACGGAGTACTTGGTCCACTGGAAAGGATGGGGCAGCATGCATGATCAGTGGGTCAGGAAGGAAGAGATATCGTCAAAGGCCCTGGATGAGTTCCACGGGCAGACGACGGGACCGCGAGTGGTTCGCAACAGCAAAGCAAAGGGACGATCGGAAAGTTCTGACATGTAGCCTCTGTTGAGGCAGTCACTGAGACAGTGGAGTTTTCTTTTGAGGCCGGCATTATGATGCGTTTTTGCGTGTCCCTACGCACACTGGAGCGTTGGGCACGGCACCAAGCATCAAGGACACCGGCTGCCGCACGCACAGCCATGTGAACAGGCAGCCGTGTGAACAGGCAGCCGTGTGAACAGGCAGCCGTGTGAAACAGGCAGCCGTGTGAACAGGCATCGGTATGTGGCTGCCTTGTAAACCGGCCGGATCACCTAGATAGTCCGACCTGGCTGCCTCCTACGGTAAGGATGAGGCAGTCATAGCTTAGTTGGAGAAAAAACCATCCCACTTCATCTCATTCATATGCAAAATGCATCATAGGGCCTTGTCAATATCCGCCATTGTGACCGAGTGAACTCCAATGCCGCCTTTGCGTTTGTCACGGCGTGCTTCCGCTAAAAAGGTTGCGGCCATGACATTAGAGACGTCTAGCTGGGGAGGCTGGTAACGTCGTCGGTCTCGTACTTGAACTCCACTGGACCCGATCTCGAGATATCCTTCCTTTGCGTGGATGTGAACATCCTGGTCTTTCATCCATCGTTTACCCAGGATCATGTCCCAGTTAAGATCGTCGATGACGTACATGAAAACACGATGCTGCTGATGTCCATCGAGGTCGATCGACACATACGTGATCTTGTCGATTTTGACCTCTTTGCCGTCTCCCGCTGCATTCTCCAAGATGCGCGGCTGGACGCGTATATGTGGCAACTGGAGAGAGTGAAATGTGCGCTTGCTAACCGCGCCGTAGCAGAGGCAGCCATAGTCGACAAGAGATGGCACAAAGTCTGTGCCGTTCACCCTGACGTCTGCTATGAACGGTTCTCCGTCCATTTTGCTTTTCCGCTCATCCCATTCTCTCACAGCCGCCGCGTGTCCTAGTCTGAATCTTCATCGCTATGAGACGAAGCTTCGTCTTCGGCGATCTCGGCATTAGTGACCGCTGGTCGTGTCGGAGCCACGGCATTGACCTGAGTGCGACGGGTCGCGTTTGCGGGTCGGATAGGCGCAGCCAATGGGCAGCGCTCGATCCTGCAGTTGTCTCTTCCACAACGAAGGCAACGCCCTTCACGGTAACGGGCGTCCATCTCGGTCTGATCGACCACTTTGCACGCTTGCCCAACAGCGCTTGGTCTTCTGGTCGGTTGGATTGGTGACCATATGTGTTCTTATCACTGCGGGTGCGCGCAGCGTTCACTTTCGCGGATGCTTGTAGAGTTGGCTCCCATTCCATCATGTCCTCTCGTCTAACTTCAGTTTTCTGGCCGGACTGTTTCTGGGCGGCCTGGCCTCCATGGTTCTGGTGGTTGTCATAGTTGTCCGAACTCTTTGTGTTGCCTCGGGGCCTTTTCACTGACCCAACAGTTCCATCTGGCTGCTCAGCGAATCGCATCTCCTCGCCAGCCCAACGTAGCTGCTGATGGCAGAGGGTCAGAGCCTATAAGGGCTGCTTTCATTTTGTCGTTTAGTGCCTCCTGGAGGTAGGAAATCTTGCTGTCGTCTGGCCAATACTCGGCGTTGGCATTGGCGATCTCCTCTCAAAGCGGGGTAAAAGGACGTGAATGGTTCATTCTCCCTTGCTTAATCGAATGCAAGTTGCGTGTAGCTCTCTGCTTGCGATCCCTCTCCCCGTACAACAACTCGAGGCGGTTGAGTAGTTCAGCAACATTGAACGTTCTCTTCTCGGTTTGCATCTCCACAAATGTGGTCACGTTGTCTTTAGCCTTGCCTTCTAGGCTCATGAAGATGTACATAAAGTGGCCTCTGCGTCTCAAGGGCTTCTTTATCGACTCGTAGTTTTCCTTCGGTTTCTAGTTTCCAGCTTCGCCACTGGGCCTTGTCGCCGCCGAATTTCGGGATGTCTCGTAATTTGGGGCGCTTGGTTGGATGAGGGCTGTGAGTGGCGACTACATGGATGTCCTCGATGGGGACAGCCGGGGTGACAGATGGCGTCGGCTCTGGGAGTTCAGACGAACGGGATTGCTGGTGTTGCTGGAGTTCCAGGGCAATAAACCGTTCTTCAAACTGGGTATTTCTTCGAATTCTCTTCTCTCAAACTTCGTATCTCGGCAACCAGGGCGCTGAGGACGTCCGGCTGCATGTTGTTATCTTCGGCCATCGCGACTTCGCTGAACGTTAATAGTTCCGACGGGACTCAGTTACTTTGGTGTCTTCAGTGTCTTCAGTGTCTTCAGTGTCTTCAGTGATCTTGATAGTATGTGAAAGGCCTCTAGTGAGTTGATACAACTAACTAGTCCCTATGCTGTTTACTATCAAGATACAGAAGAAAGTAAGAAAGAAAGAGAATCTACTACATAAGAGCATAACGGCATTTTATAGCTTCGAGCCAATGGAAGGTTCTAGAAGGTAGGCGGCGCAGCCGCCGTTAAAGCGGCTTGCCCGTTACAAGAGAGCTGGATGGTCGGGGAGAACTTCGCCAGGGCAGGGAGGTCGTCGGGCCACACGATCGAAGTACTAGCGCAGTCGAGCAAGAGTCGTTGCCGTCGCATCCAGAAGAGGCCGATAAAGATGTCGCCACCCATCTCGGCGACGTTAAAGACTTGATCGGGGAGGCGTCGACCGTCTACCTCGAATGATGCGTGTAACTGCTGCTTGATCGAGCCGGCGAGTCTCCGGCGGTAGTCTTGTAGCTGTATCGGCTTGGCGAGGGTAACGAGCTTCGCCCCTAGGCGTTGGGCGGCTTGCTTGGCGAAGGTTGGGCTGATCAGGAGGTCAGTGTCGGCTCCAGTGTCGCAAAGTGCGTTCGCCGGTAGACTGGTTCCATTCACGCAAATCTTGCTTTTTACGGTGAATGAGGTTTCCGGTCCATCTGCTACTATCTGCGACACATTCGAGACCATCGGGGAGACTTTCGATGGTCCTACTCTTTTCCCGACTCCTGATCAGACTCCTCAGGTGTCATAGCCAGCCGAGAAACGCCCTTGGCGCGGTCGGGACAGTCGCGAGAAACGTGCCCAGTCTTGCCACAGGTAAAACAGGTGTCGTTGTCCCAGTGGACTCTCTTCTCTTCTTCGGTCAGGGCTCGGCCGGCGTTCTGCGAGGTAACCGGGGGAGGGCCCGTCTTATTCGAATTCTTGGTCGGGGTCTTGGCTGCCGGGGCTGCCCGGCGGGTCTGATCAGGCTGCCGAGCTTCCTTCCGCCGCCACTCACTTTTCTTACTATGGACCGAGTCCTTCACAGACTCGCAAAAGGTCTCATAGGTCACGGTCGGGTCACGGGTCTTGGTCAGGAGGGATCCGTCGAGTCCTCCCCCGAGCTTGCACCAGAGTGCGTGCTTGAGCTGATCCTGAGGCCAGGAGGCCTTTGACGAGAGGGAGTCGAACTCGGCGATAAAATCCGTGATATCCCACTTACCACCGATCGTGAAAAACAGGCGTTGCAGCTTAGCGTGGGCCTCGATCGCTTCGTTCGGGTTCCCGAACACAGACTCCAGAGTCTGGATCATCTCGGCCACGCCGGAGAAGGGTCGGGTCTCCGACGTAAATCTTGCCTCGAGGCAGCGGAGAGCTCTGCCCTCGAGGAGGCCGTACAGGAGATCCATACGGCTCATCTCGGTACGGAAGGTGTCTCTGTCCTCCCGGAACTTACTACGAAGTTTGACGAGGAACGGATGGAACTCGCCCTTATTCCCGTCGAACGTGATCTGGAGCCGAACAGCGTTCCAAGCAGCCAGGTTCCTCCTATCGATGTCAGCAAAGGATACGTGGGAAGCCCTCCGAGCCCTCTGGATAGACACATATCTCGGACCCCCTGATACTATCAAGCACGACGCAGGGACCAATTTTGCCTCCCTAGAGTTCCGTAACGAGGCAAAGCTTATGGGGATAACCTGCAAGCAAGTCCTGTGGAAGCACATTGGTCCGTTGGAAAGGTTGAAAGATATCATGCCCCTCTCCGCCGTGCGTTTGAGATCCTCCACGCAGAAATCGGGACCTTCACATCCCCGAATCGATCCTTCAAATGGCTATCAAAGCCATCAACGACACAACAGGGCCAAATGGCATTGTCCCTACGCTCCTAGTCTTTGGCGCCTACCCTCGAATGGCGTTAGATTCGCCCCTTCTGCTACGACCCTGAAAGGGCTGCCGCAGCCCAGAAAGCGATGAAAATGCTTCGTCAGCTCTCAGCAGAGCGGCAAGTGCAGGGCGCCTTACACACAAAGAACGGACCATCATCAACAGGCGTTATACTATCGCTCCCACTGCAAAGCGAGGTCCGAGTGTGGAGAAAAGCTCGGCTGGCAAGGCCCTTTTAAGATTAGTGCAATTGATGGCTCCAATGTCACAATTGATACTATCAACGGACCCCAGACCTTCCGTTCCACCCTTGTGCAGCCTTATTTCCGCGACGAGACGACGATCCCTGCCCCGCTGCTGCTGCTGCGGATGATTCTGACATTCCTGTTTCTGATCCTGCGAGCGATTCTGTTCCTGTTTCTGCCCCTGCCCCTGCCCCTGTTCCTGCTCCTAATCCCCGGCGCCGCGCAAGCGAGGCCCCCTGGTTCGAAGAAGAAGACAAAGACGACGTTCCTAGTCAAGAAGGAAGAAGATGCCTACCAACTAGCCATCAAGCTACGGGACGAAGGCATTATCACAACGCCAGGCACCCTTTGAGGAATCCGATAGCACGGAGATCGATGATCTATTGGTACGAGGAGTGTTTAGCTTCGAACGCTACAATGAAGCAAAGCACGGGAACCATCATATCTTCCGCTCCCGCATGGTCCGCGAGGTTAAAGGCAAAGAAACCAAACCATACGAGAAGTCAAGGCTCGTGGTCCAAGGGCACAACGACTTTGAGAAGACCACCCTCCTGACGCAATCTCCGACAATTCAACGCGTCAGTCAACGGCTTATTTCTGCTATCTCCCCAGACCTCCTTTCTCACGGCATGACCTCTCTCTTCGTGACATCACACAAGCGTATCCCCAGGCGCAGACCGAACTATTCCGCACCATTCTCACGCATCTTCCCGCCGAATTAGAAGGAAGATACCCGGAAGGAACAATCATTCGCGTTATTAAGCCCCTATACGGAATTGCGGAGGCCGGAGTCCATTGGTTTCGAACCTATCACGGGCATCATGTCGATAACCTCGACATGTCCACATCAACCTACGACCTATGCTTCCTAATTACGAATAAGGGACCTGATAACTTTGGGATTGTGGGAATGCAGACTGACGATACCCTTATGCTTGGCACACAACGTTTTTCCGCGCTAGAGGAAGCGGAACTCGTAAAGGCACAATTTCGGGCAAAGCCGAAGACAACGATGACCCCGGGTACTAGCATTGACTTCAACGGTGCAAAGATAACCCTCCAAGACACCACTTTCCACAACGCTCTACTGCTTCAACAAAAGGGTCAAGCAGCCAAGATCGAACCCATCGACATCAAGGCATACGATCGAGCCCAACAGTACGTGGAACAGCGTGCCCGTGGCGCGTATGTGGCTTCAATCTGTCAACCAGAGGCCTCATTCGACATCTCTATTGCTGCCCAGGTCCAAACCCTACGGAAGAGGATTGCACGACCCTCAACAAGCGGCTTCAATGGCAGAAAGACCACCAGCAGCGAGGCCAAACGTATATCCTATTGACCTCGCCAATGCCAAGCTTATCATCTTTACCGACGGTTCCTTTGCGAACAATAAGGACCTATCGTCACAGCTAGGCTTCGTCATTGCCTAGTCAATGAGACCGAGACCGCACGTACCAAAGACCAATTCGGGATCAAGGGCAATGTCCTCCATTGGAGCTCAACGAAGTGTAAGAGGGTCACCCGAAGCGTGCTAGCATCAGAGATCTACGGCATGGTCAACGGATTCGATATTGGGATATCACTAGCAACGACGATACGGAAGATCACAGACCGCCTCAATCTTCCCCTATCCCCTAATCGTTTGCACCGACTCTTTCCCTCTACGAGTGCCTCGTTAAGCTAGGCACAACGAAGGAGAAGCGATTGATGATAGATATCATGGCCTACGTCAATCCTACGAAAGGCGTGAGATCACGAAATCCGCTGGATTAACGGCGCAGACAACCCAGCAGATGCTATGACAAAGGCATCGCCTAACCGCGCCCTCGAACGCCTCGTCGATACGAATAGCCTTACGATTAGGATAGAAGGATCAGTCGAACGCCCTCCCCGCTAGCTGCCGCTCGAACCGTCACTCTTTTCGCACCCTTGCGGTCGCACCCTTGCGGTTGCTGCTACGCTCCCGCACCTGCTGCTGCTGCGATTGCAGCGATAAAAGAAGATTTGCCAGTGTGGGAATGTAGCATATAGCTATAGTAGGATTGTAAGGAGGTGCGCACACACACGTGACCCTTAGCGTCACGTGTATGGACCTCGGGGATCCGTGTATAAAGGGCACGTAGTGTGCCCCCTCATTCCCTTTCCTCCCTTCCTAGCTAGACATCTTGAATACAACCCATTGCGTTACTGCAGTACAGACCTCCCGACAATGACTAAATAAACTCCACTCCTTATCTGCATTTATGCTCTACACACTTTGAAACTAAAAGTATTCCATTCAGATTACGAAGAAAAATTCGTTTACTGTCGGGAGGTCTGTACTGCAGTAACGCAATGGGTTGTATTCAAGATGTCTAGCTAGGAAGGGAGGAAAGGGAATGAGGGGGCACACTACGTGCCCTTTATACACGGATCCCCGAGGTCCATACACGTGACGCTAAGGGTCGTGTGTGTGTGTGCACCTCCTACAATCTATAGCTACAGTGGGGACAAAGTTCCGGTCAATGACGCTAGCGCGTCGCGTACGCGCGTCTCCACATTCCAACCCTTCCTCTTCAAATCACCATCATGCCTTCAAAATGAGCCCAATTACGCCCAAAAAACACTGGAGCCCTCATAAGAGGACGAAGATTGTGACCCTCTTTGATTGCGGCTTCTCAGCTGCCCTCGTCGGCGTCAAAGAGGACGTTTCTCCTAGAGCTGTCTACGGAATCGTCAGGCGTTACAGGACACAGTCGAGTGCGAAATCTTTGCCGCGCTCTGGGAGACCCTCAAAGCTCAATGACACCCATAAAGATATATCTTTCGATGCATCGCGAAAGACCCTTTCATCTCGAATGCTCAGCTTCTTCGTGAGGCTTCTCTAGAGTGTTCTACACGTACTTTAACACGGTACCTTCGACACCATGGCATACAACATGTACGCGCTCTTCGACGTCCAAAATTAACAGAAGAACATGCTGCAAAGAGGCTACAATTTGCACTACAATACCATCAAAAGCCAGCTTCCTTTTGGCATACATGGATTTTCTCTGATGAGACGTCAATCGCTCGTGGGGACGGCGAGAGACAGAAGTGGGTTTTTTGCAATTCAGTACGTCTTAATACCCTTACTTCAAAAATCCCTCCTAATTGCAAAAAGGGGGATAGATTAAATCCGAAAAACGTACAAGCAAGAGGAAAACCTACTCGACATTCCCAGATGTTTTGGGGCGGCTTCTCCTTTAATCGGCGGACTTCTCTTACACCAATGCTAGGAGACCCCGACTCAGCCCGTGGTGGCGTTACTGCACGCCGTGTGCTCGAGACCTTACAAGAAAGCCTACCTACAATTGCAGAGCCAGGCTATACATTCGCCCAAGATAACGCCTCAACACATACGGCGGCCATTGTGCAGGCGTGGCTTGGCTGCTGGGTCGAAGAAAACAGGGTAGATTTGGTCGACTGGCCGCCATATTCACCTGACCTAAACCCCATAGAAAACGTATGGAAGCTGCTTAAAGAGAGCATTATGGAGACTCACCCTGAGCTCTCAGACCTTCCAAAGAACTATAGCTCCAAGCAGAAGCTCTGTTTTGCAGCGGTTGGGCGTGGGAAGACCTTGAAGAGGATACCCTCAATCACCTAATAGAATCAATGCCTCGGCGCCTTCAAGCTGTTGTGGCTGCACGTGGCTGGTATACCAAATACTAGCCGAAACAACAATAATCTCCACTCAATTCTCTATATATTTATATCTTCGGCTTCATAATTGACCTTCATTTGGCAAAGTAATGTGCTGTTGAAAAGAGGGCTCTGATGCGGCGTTGTGGTGGGTGGGCCGGATTGACCGGAACTTTTGTCACCCGACTGTATATGCTACATTCCCACAGTCATCATTATATGAGTTGTGTACCATTATCTCAACCCATTCCTGGAATTTTCTCCCAATTATCTGCCACTGCCGAGGAGTAATTGACTGTAGGTCCTCGCTTGTCGGTAGGTCTCTACACAGGCCTGCGTGCAAATCGCAATGGTATGTGTAATCGTTGATGTCTGTTCTAGAAAGGGGGAAGAGGGGGCAAAGGGCACGGAGCTAGCTATGTGTCCTCCGCTATCCTCAACTGCACACGTGAGAGCGCACGTGACCTATCTAGATGGGTACAATGGATTACTACAATTCCCACATCGCTTTCTTGGGAATAGCTATAGTTCTCCTCTGTTTGATGATGACCTAAGACGATTATTAGTTGAATCTTTTCCCTTTTCTTTTTATAGGTAGAACTAGAGTGTTACAGTGTAGTTTGCATAGCGACCCACGAGATGAGTACGTGCAATTCGCGCATGCACCTGACCCTAGCATTTCCAGAGTGTAACAGCCTTGAAACACCCCATTCCCTTTTATACACTGGACACAGGAGCTTTCGGCTGATCACCGAATATAAATATCAAGGCGGCATCGAGATGTTGGCTTCGTGTAGCAAGTCGATGCGAATGTGATATACCTTGCCTCGCCTTCGTATTGAGACATATAAAGCGTTTAGGGGCTGTAGATGCTAGCAATCTCTCGACCTTGGACGAACGGACTTGATACACCTTAGACAACGCCCATGATGTAAGTTCAATGCTAGTTATTGGTTGTTGTGCAGTAGGGAATTGATGGGAGGAGAATACTGTCAATCGTGATAGCTTGCATTTTTAATATTCGTCCACGCAAAATAAAGTAGGGGGAAGAAAGAAACGTGACTGTAAAGATCTGCTATAACTTCGTCATATATGCAATTAACCCTGCTTCTGCTAAGCCGAATATTTAAAAATGGGCCATAACCCTCTATGGTCACAGTAGGGTATACGTAATGACAAATTTTCTTCCCAAATGCGTTTTGAGACAGTCTGGCCTACAGTCGCCCGTACTACATACAGCACGCGGTCACCTAAGTCTGCTGGCCGTTGGTACGTTGTTCGGGAACCTGGTGCGTTCAGATGCGGCCCATTAGGCAACAGCAGGCAAGATGTGGTGAAGTCGAAGCTCATTGGCTTTAGTTCACGTCAGCTGTCAGCTAGCGTTTTCTTGGCCGCTCTTTTGGGCAATATAACGATCAAATTTGCATACGGTCAACCAGAGGCGGCAGGAAAGCTTACGCGACATAGCAAAGAGCCAACACGCACGTCTACTGTGCATTGCTTCGATTGTTGAGCTTAGCAGCCGTTATTTTGTAGCATTCGAAGCCAACGTTCATCGCGATCACGACGTTTCAGGGAGATTTAAGCTTACCTATATTGAGACACCAAAGGCTTCATTCAGAAGTTAAGGACTGAGTGAAGATTTGGATGAGACACAGACTTGGTAGCAGAGCTTGGAGATAGGACCTAGGAGTCTATGCTGGCATCTAACAAGCGAAGCATACAGATAGCAAAGCGCATGGGTCTTAAGCCCGATACAGACTCTATGAAACCTCAAATAATTAAGGAGTTGCGCAGCGCGGGCAGCGAACTGGTGTTTTCCCAGTATGCTGGTGAGTGTCAGAACCTTGATGAGGTTCTCGTCGGATAGGTCACGGACACAGCAAGAATGGTACGATCGGATGAAGTGAGGTATGATGTGTGTCTGTCTGTGTCCCCATTTGGGGTGCTCTGCCCAAGCCCTATATCAAGGGCGATGGCCTCAATCCCTATGACATGCCATCACGTCATATCTCTGTAACTGTCTCATATATGTCCTCGTGGCCTCATCGGCTGCGCTACCTGGTGCGCTATCGTCTGCGCTACCGTTGGCGCTGCCACTAGTAGCCTGACGCTATCGTAGCTGCATCTACCCGGATTCTACCGGATCTAACAGTGAGCGGTGAAAATTCCTGCCCAGGGTACTTCGTCGATGTCACCTGCAACCGGTGACCCAGTCATCAGATCCGCCCATGCATTAGCGCTGAACTCTAGCGCGCATTGTTGCGGAGACCAATACGCCGTCGAATCTCACTGGTTGCAACACGTAGGCTCTTCCCCCTGCCTTGACGTATATAACCCCGCCGTTTCGGGAGCTCAAAAACTCACAAACTTACAATCCCACAATCCCGGTGTCCGTACCCACCCTTCTGACTGTTAGATCGTAACCCATTGCCAACGCCATGGAAGGTAGCCCACCGAACGAGCATTCGTGCGGCAGACATCTTGCCCCGAAATTGCGCCCACATACTAACACAACATCTAAAATTCACGTACACGCCGAAGGGACTCGCCAACGCGTACCAATCGGCGACAGAACAGAGGAGACTTCATGTGAACGTATCTTTCTGGACGGCGGCGGGTTTTCAGCCTGGTTTACTTACTTCCTCGCGAAGCGAAGCCGCGAAAAGTGGTTCTCACTTTGATGGTCAAGCTGCAGTCAGCCAGATGCTCGACAGCCTCCCCAACATCGCAATCGATGACCAAAGGAAGTTGGCGGGGGAAGTACGTGATTCGATTCCGTCGGATGTCGAGAAGCGAATCCAAGAAGTCTTCAACAAGGCGATTAAACCAAATCAGATTGGTGTTGTGGCGCCATCATCGAAACGACGTCGTGAGTATAAGTCCACGAGATTAAGATATCCCTTTAACGAATACCCTAGGCGCGATAGGTGACGATAATGATCCTCGACTTGAGATGCCGAGCCCAACGCCATCGACAAGCGGGACTAACTTCACATCCGAGCTTTGCACAAACGGCTGTCGTTTCGACCTCGGAAACCCCACTATTTTGAGGGTCGCGACCGTTTTCCCAACTTTCACTGCTGGTGCAATTAGAAGATACCGCATGCCAAGCAGCGGAAATTCTTGGGCGGCAGCCATCACAATGTCGTTCTTCGACGGTTCCTCCTTTGGGGACAAGCTAGGATCAATGATGAGCTTGGAAGTAACGAGCAACAAAGTCGAGCGTCTGGCCAATAACTTGTTCGATGCTCCTGTGGAGTCAATGGATAAGAACCGATATCTCGTACTCCCTACAGGGCTGAGGATCATCCCCGGCGCGGACCTCATTCTCCGTGGTTGCAAGAGGCATGTCATCCTGGATGTGTTCGGCCACGACATATACAACGCAGTCAACGCAAGCCGGGCCTATAAAGAAGAGGCAGAGCAAGGCAACCCTCTTACAGAATGTGTGACAATGACGATATCGCACCGAGCCGACGATGGGGCTATAATCAACCTCTCACTTGATGAGAGGGAGGCATTGCGAATCAAGCATAAACTCTTCGGATGAATGCTCGTCCCTCCTCGATCGACTACATCTCTTTTATGCTACCGCCATATCCACCAAATGCAACCTCGACATCACCTGGAACCATCGCCTGGCCAGTACACTTTTCATGTTGTTCGTAGGGCTCGGACTGGCCCTTCCGATACACTTTCACCCAGCAATTGCGCCAGTATACTTTCTGACCTTTGCCTTCAACGAGTGTAGGACTTGTCGTGCCGGTTGAGAAGTCTATCGGCGTGTCGGACAACGGTTCGATTTGGAACGACTGTTAATTTGTAAGCCAAGACGGGATACACAAGGCAAGCATCTGGTAGGGCTTTCGAACCATCAGAGAAACACCTTCCGTTCTTCAGTAGTGTTGGGCCGAGAGCGATAGCAGAAGGAGAGGCAGTCTGAGCTTGACCGTGGTCCTATATGGCTGGCTGGCTTGGTGTCACCTGCCGAGTTTTGTGTTTGGACATACAATGGAAGATTCAGCCTCGCCGATCGATGAGTTTGTCGTGCACCTTGAATCCCAGTAAGCGACCTGACACTTCACTCGCGTGTTCAACCGGAGGTTAGTCAAGGACGAAGTCGGACTTGGGAATGGCGCACTACCTGTTGGGCATGAATGCCTTGTGCGTTGGAAGATGCCAGGTGGCCGGCTCGTGATTTAGTGGAACGCAATGTCACATGTTACGACGCGGTGTGGAATATGACGTAGAAGACCAATCAGCGCATTTTCTTCTGCGGGGACTCACTTGGGACTAACGGCACGTCGCCTAATCGTCGGGTTGTGGAATTGTACGATCCAATGACATTGTGATTGTTGGATTGTTGAATTGTGTAATTGCGAGACGATCGTACGATAAGGATGGCAAGGATGGCAAGGATGGCCATGGCATGGCCCAGCCCAGTCCCATGCAAGGCCGGGGCCTGCAGGCTGCATGGACAAAACGAAGCCAGGGCGGCTCCGGCCTCGTATACTTAATTGTTACTAAGCTGGGGCACGTACAGCTGATGCGACGAGCCTGAGCTGCCTCACCACGGGTCGTTTTATGACCGAAGAGGTTCGGCGGCAACCCCAGGGTACCTCTTGTCCGATTAATCCCACAACCAGCCTTTCATCCTGCCTGTACGCCGCAGTTGGCCCGGCCAACGGCATGACAGGAGGGTTTGGCAAATGGCCATATGCATAGCCCCCAAGGAACTCCTGTCGCCAGTACCGTTACCCCACTGCTTTATGTGTGCCTGCCCTTCATCTTCCTTCCATCGTACTCATAAACCTCAGTCCAGTAATAATAAACGTGATTTTGCCGGACGCGCTGAGAAAATAGTACATTTCTTGTAGCGAGGTGATTAATGACATTAGACGTTTTGGACACATCCTGCTAGATCGGCCTAACTCAGGGACAAAGTTCGAATTATTTTGGTGATACTAGAATAGGAGTACTAGCTTCTGGAGATTGGGACTTTGATGAGAGTGAGTGAGTGCACTGAGCTGGCCCAAGATGCCTTGTTTAGATGTGGCTGATGGTAAGAGCCGACAGCAAGTGCACCACCCCCACGTCGAGCAAAACCGCTGTGATAAATGTCTGTTTAGCATGCTGTGTTCCGCCTACGCGCCTAGCGGCCTCGTCTGGTTGAAAAGAAGGCTGGGTTCGAGTTATTAAAGCCATTCGGTGTGGATGCAGTAGTTCTCTGCGGGAGCCGTACGTCTTACCTGATTGATCTTGTATTGAGCTTGCACCCTGCATGCACGCCGCAGATGATACGACCAAGGACATGACCATAGAGACATCAAATCATACGACAGCATCTGGGTGAAGTTTCAGCTATTCCTCACTTTCAAGGCACAGCGGAGTGTTGGCAGCTGCGGAGCTGAATTCTGACATAAAAGGCATCGAATGGCGCATGCATAGACAAACCGGTAACTTCTGCTACTCGAACAAGCGCTGTCAAGCTACCTTCAATAAAATAATGGCATCACATATTATCACTCCGGGCTCGATTAGGTGCGGTCACCTCGATGATGTTGATCAAAGAAGTGCAGCCATGGCCAGCCGTGCCGACTTGGAGTTCAACCCTTTGAAATCATCACCGAAAATTGCAAGAGGTGTATGCAGGACCCTCACAAAGACTCCACCACAATTTCCACGGCCTCAAAGATAAATCATCTCTTCTCCGTTACTGGTATTGTCGAAAGTTCAGTGAGGATAGATATTTTTGGGGCCGTCCAGGCTGGGTGAGGTGGGCATTCCAGTTTTCAAGAGCATCAGCGCCGAAATGGAAATAAGTATGCGCGAAGCATGGCATGAAGAGTCCAGAAGATTTGTCAAATTGGCGAGTTGCGGTGCGAGCGCGGTTTTATGGATGGTCAAGAACCGTGTTCTGTTGATGAGTTGGACAGCGATAAGGGTAGAGCACTTTTAGAAAGGGCGATGGAGATGATTCTTGAAGAGACGAAAAAGCCGAAGAAATTGCCCAGTATCTAATTATCTTTTCCCATCTCAGAGATCTATTCTCTGTTCCTTCCCTTGCCGCCTGACAATCCTGCCTTTTCTTGACGCTCACGACCAATGGCCCCTGTAAGGCCGACCAGGAGAGAGCCAAGTTCTTGGCTCTGCGCGCCAGTACGAAACCCATCTTGCGGAATTGTCACATATCAACGACACCTTTGCCGTGTCTTTGGCCATCCTTGTTTGGTCCATCTCCACCAGAGAGCTCATGTGTCGTCACGGCCCCTGGGCTGGTTGCCCTCTGTGCCGGTCCATGGCGTTCCGACCCTAGTCAAGGAGTGCTTAGACACTTGCAAGCTAGAGTGCATGAACCAGGTTGTATGCACTGCTGGTGATGCCGAGATACTGGATGGCCTCGTAACTGTGAGCCAACCGCATTGACCAGTTGAAGACGTGCCATTCCAGCCACTCTACTCTGACCAGGGCCGTTTTAATGGGGGGGAAGCTCACCCGCCTCATATACGTAAATCATCATATTAACTAGAGCCTCTTCTCAGGGCAATGACGGTGTAACCTCACTATGCACGAAGCACCCATTACAACCTCACCCTAGGCATGTCTGCCCATTCGCCAAACGACTAGACAACGTCCTGTGGCTCTCTTCATCCAAGCGCTACTTTCCAAGTACCAAAATTCGCTGTTACGACTTAACATTATATAAAGCACGTCTTGTTCCGGGCAAGCCCGGTGCTCATTTTCTCATTACTCTAAGTCTAAATTACGCTCTCTCCACCGTTCAAGGTTGCCACATTTCGACATGCGGGACGAGATTACCGTCAGGGAGGTCACCGAGGCCGGTGTCGTGTTTGCCGTGACCATGGTCTTTCTGGCGCTTTACCTGTACTGGATGATCAGAGCCAAGCCGCGAGAAGCTTCGATCAGAGTCAAGCCACAAGAAAATTTGATCAGAGTCAAGCCAGGAGAAGCTGTGCGTAGGCGAACATGGGCGTTGATTCCCACAGCATGTCTCCTCTTGGGTTCCGGACTAATATTCGCCGCTTTGTTTGGCAGTGCGAGAAATGCACTCCTACCAGGCGTCCTTGCCTACCCTTTTCACGGCCTGGAAAGGAGTCACAATATTATGCGTCGACATCATCGAGGTACTCTCCACTCAGGCCCGTCTGGTTATCTCCCCGATATACTCATGGTTTACAGCTTATTCAAATTGTCGATCCCTTGATTTACGCCTATTTTTGTAGCGCTGTTGTGCCTGACCCCTCCAAGGCGAGAATCATCATTTTTGGACTAGCATTAGTCTTTCACCTTCCCTTTATTGGGGCGACCGTCTGGCAATTCCCGCTATCCGGCGTCGAATACTGGTGCGCTGCTCCAATGGTGTCTCACTTGGTTACCGTTATTATGGTTATGGCGATATGGAGGAAGACACAGTCTTTCCGTCGTTTTGACCGGCACTCTAACCAGCCTCAGCCAGAGCAGCCGACGTCAAACCAGGGGATGCCGTGGCTTGGAGCAGTGAGCGGATTGGTGTTCCTAGCATCATCTGTGCTCCTGATATGTTCTGTGACTGGTTGGGTGAGACACCAGTTTGGAGGTCAGTGTGGACTTTGTCTGGCGATTTTAGTTGTGCCAGCAGTACCTCTGGACAGTATGATGAGAGAACACCAGAGGAAACGGGTAGACAGAGAGGTGCAGCTGTCTGTGGTGACAGACCCCGGTACTGAACGGTCGACGGAGCACCTTGTATTATCCTGAGGGCACTGAATCAGACAGACGGTAATTCCATCACTGTACGCCCTCCGTCTACGGCCAATTCCTTATATTTAAGCGTCCCAAGTTTGGGCCACAGGAATATGCTGCATTCAGGTCGTGCAAACGCTCCAAGTAATCCTTCCAAGTTGGATGCGCGACGCAAAGGTGCCTTCCGAAGCATATATGGAAGCCCTGCTTTCCACGTCAATCATGATCTTTTCTTTAGTTCAGTTACACTCTCCTCGACGGAAATACCCACGTTAGTTCACGCAAATGTCCACCAGTCGTCTGAAAGACATATTCTAAAGGACTTCATCGGACTCGCAGAAGAGCTCGCTAAGGACAACCGGCTCGTCTCGCCCTAATATTCACGCTGTAGACAGTGTCCAGACGTCCAAATATGCTTAACTTACCTCCGCAAATGAAGTGTCAATCGAAGTCCAAGTTCTGGGGGGGCGACGAGCTCGCCGTGAACGACTACAGTTCTGATGGCAGTGAAAGCGGCTCGCCAAGCATGAAGTGGGGGGCTGTTCCGGCGTACGACACCTTAACATAGGGAAAGGCAGCGGCAATCACTCATCACGCTTATGGTGGAGAGTAAGAAAGCAACAGTCAACCTCAGACAAGGGATTTAGCGAGGAGCCTCGATTCAATTTTCTGCATGCTCAAGTCACATGCGACCCAGGAAAACCGGGCAGTTCTATCGCCACGAACGACTCGCCGCAGTATGCTCATGACCGAGTTGACCGACTCACTTAGACTTGGACTCGTGTTGGAAAGGCAGCAGGGGCACTCACACCCGACGCCGTCTTGGATCATCGATCCCCGACAAGTCTCGCATGAAGGCTAGCGAGGATGCAAATGCCAGCTTGTGGAACCAGCATTTCTTAGACGAGATATTTAAGGACTAGGTTACTACCATTCTAAGGGCTGGTGAAAATATAACAATTCAACACTCCTCCACGGCTGGTTGCTTGCTCCTCCGGATATTGTGAATCCGCTGTCGCTTATGCCCTTGCCCATGGCTTTGCCATCTTCTTTTAGGCGCTCGACATTCTGTACTTACACCCCGGATATCCGCCGTGGTCTCTCCGCTCGCATTGCCTGGTGTGTCGTGACGAGTCCGAAGGAGAAGACTGAGAAAGGCTGATAGTAATTCTAACAGGCTTGCAGAGAGGGAGGTCAAGTTCCATCTCAACCTGTTTGCCTTGTTCGTTCTCGACTGTACCTCTGGCCTCTACTCGATGGCAAGTATCGGATACAGTGACTCGAAAACGAGCCCAGTAGGAGGACGATTCTCCTTGTCATCGTCGCAAAAGGAAGAGTAACCACTCTCTTCAAGATCGCTAGGTGCAAACAAGGGCTGAATATTTTGTGTAGGTGACACTGCAATCTCGTCTTGCGGATATTTGTCTCGACAGTTTGTGCCGTTGAATTGGCTTTCGGTATCCGAGAATTCTGATGTGGGCGAGGTAGGACAAAGAAGCATATCGAGCACGAAGATGACCAGTTTGTCCACAGGCAATCGATTCAGTGGAACTCATATTCCCCTGCATAGTCGAGGTAGTGTCAGTCGACATGGCGGGAAGGAGGGCCTCGTTGGCTTTCGGAGAATTGCAAGAAAATGGGAGATATGGAAACCGGGACAAAGGGGTGGTGCCTACCTCCTTTACTTTCTACACGAGTATGAGACGGGCTGCCTTGGCCGGGACGAGAGCGCCAGCGAATCATCCGAGAATCCCCAAGGCGCAGCTTTGGCCATCTCATTGCACATATTGTCGGGTGGGATCATGCGCCTTCCTCCACTTCCGGGCTGTGGTCCGTTGTTGCTTCGCTGACGCCTGCCGGCCACCCCTGAGATGGTTTATGCGTCTTTGACCAGGTTCAGCTTCTGCATCAATGCACCGATCGCATCCGCTAATGCTGCAAAATTACGAGTAGCCAACTTCTCCGTAGGCGCAGGGGGGCGAACCGAATCGTGCAGACTAGTCCGCAGCCTCCCTGCGCCGGGGTTCAGGAGGAACGCGAGGCAGGACTTGTCCGTTAATTCCTCTTCCCTCGTCGTTGACCCAATATATGACAATGTACATGTACATGCCTGGGAAGTGTCGGGGGTGGCGAAGCTTGCAGCGGAGGGAGCCTCGCGACAAGGGGAGGGCTGCTGTCACGCGCCTAAAGTGCTTGACCACGGTAGATGGCTGGTTGATTCCAACCACTGGCTGGAGTGACTTTTCCAGGGAAAAGCACGGGGCTGGGAGGCCTCTCGTGGTTATAAAAGTAGGGTTGCATAGCACCTGATGGAGCTCGTCAGAGATCAATGAATTGAATGATTGACCCCGTTCCTCACTCTCTGTTTAGTTGTGTGTGCGCCTTACAGTTTGATCTCTCTCCTTTAGGGCACAGAGACCGTTGAACGGGACCGGCTTGAATCATGGACTTATCGCAGCTTCCTCCAGAACTGGCCAGAGCAGTGGAGCGCCACATGCACCAATCTCAGGTGGCGGAATCTGCATCACAGACAGCATTCCCATCTTCGGCGCAGGTTCCCCCTGTGGAGGAATCGGATGCAACGGAATCTCCATCAGATAGCGGCGAGGCTGAACCAAGACCTTCGCCGACGACGAACAGAAGAAAAATCATGACACAAAAACGGCTAGATCAGCTCGCAGCGGCTAGAGCTGCGAAGAAAGAAAAGAGTCGCATGGTAGGCTCCAGCGGGGTGAGAATGTGGGGCAACAGGCTGAACCCACCACCTCCAACGTGGCCTTCAATGGAGCTCAGGGAACGCAAACCGAACTAGAGAGATCCGGCAACAGCTGGATCAGCAGATCGACCATTCGCGGCGGCAAGGGGAGCAGATACAGCAGCTCCTGAGCGCCCTCTTAGAAAAATCGGGCGAACGTGGCTCACGACGACGGTCCAGGTCGCCAGAGTATAGCCCACCACCGCGGCAAAGGATTCGGGAACGCTCTCCCATTTACGAGCCCAAGAACAAAAACCAGGTACAGATTCAACAGTTCCGGGGCACTTCGGCAGCCGATGGGCAAATACCCCCTCCAGGACCCATCTATAATCTGTCAGAACATGAGCTCGCGGTATTACGCGAATACATCGCTTCGGCCCAGGCGAAAGGATGGATTCGACGATCAATCAGTCCTGCAGGCTCTCCGATTCTCTTCGTTCCTAAAAGGGAGGAAGCTACGGTTATGTGTCGACTACCGTGGGTTGAATAAGGTGACCAAGAAGAACCGAGCGGCTTTGCCATTGATCTCGGGGATCTTGGACCGACTGGGTAGAGCTAAAGTCTTCACCAAGCTCGACCTAAAGGACGCATATCACCGACTCCGGATTCGCGAAGGGGACGAGTGGAAAACAGCATTTAGGTGCCACTATGGCCATTACGAATACCAGGTGATGCCATTTGGGCTGGTCAATGCTCCCGCCTCGTTCCAGCAATATATCAACGATGCACTAGAAGGCCTGGTTGACATCATCTGTGTTGTCTATCTGGACGACATCCTTATCTTCAGTGAAGACCCGGAACAGCATGAAGGCCATGTCAAGGACGTCCTGCAAAGGTTACGAAAAGCCGGACTTTACGCCAATCTGAGCAAATGCGAATTCTCGGTGAAGAAAGTCTCCTTCCTGGGGTTCGTGGTCGATGAGGAAGGAATCCACATGGAAGAGGAACGGGTCCATGCTATCACAGAATGGCCAGCACCCCGTTCTGTAAAAGACATACAGGTTTTCTTAGGGTTTACTGGGTTCTACCGCCGCTTTATCAAGAACTACAGCAAGATCGTGTCTCCGCTCACGGATCGTCTCCGCAAGGGCATCGAAGCCTTTCAAGCTGGATCCAAAAGCAATGAGGGCTTTTGAGGATCTCAAGACGGCCTTCACATGTGGGCCTGTTCTCAGACACTTCGATCCTTCCAAGACAATACGAATCGAAACAGATGCGTCCCAGTTCGCTATCGGAGCAATAATCTCTCAACTGCACGCCGATCGATGGCACCCCGTAGCGTTCCTTTCGCGGAAGCTTCAGGACGCAGAGACAAGATACGCAATCCCGGACTGCGAACTGCTAGCTATCACAGAAGCTTTCCGCCATTGGCGCCACTACCTTGCGTATACGGAGCAGAAGATCACCGTTTTGACGGACCACCTGAACCATAAGTACTTCATGTCCAAAGCTAAGCTGACCAATCGACAGATGAATGCACTAGACCAGTTGTGCAGCTTTGACTTTGAAATCGTCTACCGACCGGGCTTGAAGAATCCTGCGGATGGATTATCAAGACGGCCGGACCATGAGAAGGTGATGAGAACAGCCGGGCTGCGAGATCCGTGCGTTCCGTCATTCCTTGAAAAGTTTGCCCAGCTGTTTCCTGTGAACCTGCGGAAGGGGACCGTGCGTGTTCAAGACAGGCTGCTGGTATTGGCGATCAGTCCGGTTCGCGACCGGCTGTCCCTGTCGCCCATGCACATGTTGACCGGCTGTTTCCCTGTGAACCCGCGGAAGGGGACCGTGTGTGTTCAAGACAGGCTGTCGGATTTGGCGAGCAGTCCGGTTCGCGACCGGCTGTCCCCGTCGCCCTCGAAAAGATTGATCGGCTGTTTCCTGTGAGTCTGCGGGTAGGGACCGTATGCACTCTAGACAGGCTGTCGAATTACGCGATCAGACCAGGTCGCCCCTGGCTGTCCCTGTCGCTGATGGAAGAGCTAAGCTCGACCGTCTCAGGCGTGTTGCACGAGTCTTGAGGACGTCGAGGACGACGTCTCAGGAGGAGGGCACCGCTGTAACGGCATCAACGTTACAAGAGTCACTGCAAGAGGCCCTGCTGGCGGCACAGCAAGGGGACGCCTTTGTTGCCCAACAGAAGCAGCTTGTCACTGTCCCTGGTAGCGTTACCGCCGGTGGGCTATCGTCAGAAGTCTGGAGCACCAATGACGAGGGGCTGTTGTGTTACCGCAAGAAGATCTTCGTGCCTCTGGGTTTGAGAAACGAGATCCTAGTGTTGTTTCACGACGATGAGGTTGCCGGCCATCAAGGCGGAACCAAGACTTGCAAGCGGATCCAGGTGCAGTACTACTGGCCCGGATTACGTCGAGACGTGCGTCGTTATGTCTCTACCTGCCGCGAATGTCAGCTCGCAAAGCCGAGGCATCATAAGCCGTACGGGCTGCTAGCGCCACTGCCAGCGCCAAGCCGTCCGTGGCAAGAGATTTCGATGGACTTCATCACGGACCTCCCGCCGGTCCGATGTGAGAAGAAGATTTACTCCAGTATCCTGGTCGTGGTCGACCGCCTGACCCGCTACGCACGATACATTCCGGTGTCGTCGCGCATATCCAGTGATGGCTTGGCAGATGTGTTCCTGAGGGAAATCTTCAAGCATTATGGAATGCCTGATGGCATTGTCAGCGATCGAGGAGCCTATTTACGGGCACTTCTGGGCCACGTTTTGCCATTTGCTTCATTGCAAGCGACGCCTCAGCACGTCTTTTCATCCTCAGACTGATGGTCAAACCGAGCGGGTCAACCAGACGATCGAACAGTACTTACGGACTTTCTGCAACAAAGAGCAGTCAGATTGGATGGACAAGTTGCCATTGGCGGAGTTTACGTATAACACCTCATACCATGACACGGTGAAAGGAGCTCCAGCCGAGGTTTTGATGGGCTATCAGCCACGGTCTAAGGGTCATGTCAAGGGACAACTCGAAACCTTCAGCATTCGCGCCATGGACCGAGTCCGAGGCCTCAGAGAACTTCACGAACGTACGGCCCTCCTTATCACGAGAGCCCAGGAGCGACAAGCGCGACACTATAACAAGACTCGACAGCAAATGTCCTTCGAGGAGGGTGATTGGGTCCTTATTTCCACCAAGAACCTTCCGTTGAGACGTCCGACCAAAAGCTGACTGACAAGTACGTCGGGCCATACCAGATTGACCAAGTCGTTGGGGTCATAAACTAGCCTACCGCCTACGCCTGCCTTCAACAGTCAAGATTCACAATGTCTTGCCTGTCAGCAGCTTGGAGCTCTATCGGACTCGAAATCAAGAGCCTATTGAGCCTGAGGATCATCCGTTTATACCCGAGTCTACCTATGACGTTGAAAAGATTCTCGATCATCAAGGGCCGAAAAGTCGTCGGAGGTATCTTGTGAAATGGAAAAGACATGGAGATGAAGAGAACTCTTGGGTGTCCAGAAGCGACTTTGTGGATAAAGCGTTTCTGGCGGACTACGACCAGTCTGTCTTGAAACTTAAGAGTTCGGGACGAACTCTTCAGGAGGAAGGGGCAACCTGTCACGCGCCTAAAGTGCTTGACCACGGTAGATGGCTGGTTGATTCCAACCACTGGCTGGAGTGACTTTTCCAGGGAAAAGCACGGGGCTGGGAGGCCTCTCGTGGTTATAAAAGTAGGGTTGCATAGCACCTGATGGAGCTCGTCAGAGATCAATGAATTGAATGATTGACCCCCGTTCCTCACTCTCTGATGCATTTTGCATATGGATGAGATGAAGTGGGATCGTTGTTTCTCCAACTAAGCTATGACTGCCTCATCCTTATGTAGGAGGCAGCCAGGTCGGACTATCTAGGCGATCCGGCCGGTTTACAAGGCAGCCACATACCGATGCCTGTTCACACGGCTGCCTGTTTCACACGGCTGCCTGTTTCACACGGCTGCCTGTTCACACGGCTGCCTGTTCACATGGCTGTGCGTGCGGCAGCCGGTGTCCTTGATGCTTGGTGCCGTGCCCAACGCTCCAGTGTGCGTAGGGACACGCAAAAACGCATCATAATGCCGGCCTCAAAAAGAAAACTCCACTGTCCTCAGTGACTGCCTCAACAAAGGCTACATGTCAGAACTTTCCGATCGTCCCTTTGCTTTGCTGTTGCGAACCACTCGCGGTCCCGTCGTCTGCCCGTGGAACTCATCCAGGGCCTTTGACGATATCTCTTCCTTCCTGACCCACTGATCATGCATGCTGCCCCATCCTTTCCAGTGGACCAAGTACTCCGTGACGGGCTTCCTGTTTCTTCCAATCTTCCTGACCCGTACGTCCAGAAGCTTGTCAACTTCGTAGAATTCGCCTTCCTGGTCCGTAAAGTCCTTTGTGACTTCTACTGGTCCGGGTGAGCTTCTTCAAAGCAGCCTTCGTGAGCTGGCTTGAGGTGGTGTATTGAGATCACTGGGTGGACCTTAATTTGCTCTGGAAGGTCCAATTCACAGGCCAGGTCTCCAACCATCCTTCTGATCACAAAGGGCCTTCCCGCTGTTGTGACCACTTCTTGGGTGGCCTGCCTGGCTGGTGATATCCTGATGAAGCTTGAGATATACCTTGTCTCCAGCCTTGAGATGGATAGGTCGGTGTTTGGCATCGTACCAACGCTTGGCCTTCATCGCTGCAAGGTCCATAGCTAGGCTGGCCTGCTTACGCAAGGCTTCCTTGATGTAGGGCAATTCGTCTGCCTCTGCGCTGGCTGTGCGATCAACAGCCTCCAGGGCCCTTTCAGGGGAAACCGTACATTAGTTCATGGGCTGAGGTCTTCGTGCTGGTGTTGTAGGCTGTGTTTAGATGCCACTGCAGCGAAGGAATAAGGGTCTTCCAGTCAAGGTTGGGGTCCTCAATATAGGCCAGTCGCAACGCTGTTTCCACTGTTTGATTGCGCCGCTCGGCCAAGCCGTCCGCCTGCGGATGATATGCCGTTGTCATGCTGATTCTGGTGCCAAAGGCCTTCCAGAGCCCTTGCCAGAAAGCAGAGGTGAATTTGCGGTCTCTGTCACTGACTATCGTGCGCGGCATGCCCCAATCACATAGCATGAGCTGCCTAGCTAGGGAGGCTGCCCAGTCCTTGGCGCTATACTTTGCATTGCCTGGAATCAGTAGGCATCGCTTGCTAGCTAAGCAAGTGACTGTAAGTAATTGATTAAAGGCATTAAAGCCTTCAATATGCCAGGGTGAGCCCATAGCTGAGACGGCAGGCATGTCTGTGATGAAGTCCATTGCAATTGACTGCATTGGAAGCATCGGGGGTCGATTGGGCAGATAGCTTCCAGCAAGCTGTTGTCGATCAGTCTGTCCAAGGCAGCAAGCTTTGCACTTGGCGATGTGCTTTTCGCTTGCCAAGAGACGTTCCTGATCGAATAGGTTTCCAACTCCTTGAGCATTCTCACAACGCCAAAGTGGTGCTTGTCGTCGTGTGCCATTTGCATCAATTCGTGCGTGAGGCTTGCGGGCACGCAGAGACGAACATATCCATCTTTTCCTTCGTGATATAACAGACCCTGGTCCACGAAAAGGGAATTCCTCTGCGCTTGATTTTCGCGATTTCCGGGCCCTAGAAGCTTTGACCGTGTTCTCACTGTCCTGGATCATTTGAAGGATCTTGCGATAATGGGTATCAGCCTGATAGCCTTCTGTGAATTTGATGCGGTATGCTGGATCCATGATGGCCTCAGACGCAAGGAGCACATCGTCAAGCGCTGTGTAGTCAGGTCGTTGTCGCTCGATCAATTGGTCGGTCTCAGGGGCTGACAGCCTGCTTAAGGCATCAGGGATGAAATTGATTTTCCTGGAAGATGATCAACCTGCAATTCGTACTGAGAGAGATAGATGGAGGCTACTACTAGCCGTCTATTTGCTCTGTCCGTGCTTGAAGTGTCGAGGGAGGTCTTATTGACGATCTGCTGTGTGGCTGAATGGTCCGTAAGCACGATTAAGGGCTTCGTTGACGATTGGACCACTGTGCGCATCTTTTTGATAGCCCAGACTAGGCAGGCCACTTCTAATTCCGACGGACCATATGATCTCTCTGCGTTGGTGAAGTGCGGCTGAGAAAAGCTATAGGTTGCATCGCTGTTGAGG